CACATACTCTGTGGACACATGCTTGCTGACCTTGACCTTGGGCTGGCGAAGTAGGCAGTCGGACAGACACACAAAGACGGAAGTTAAACTCGTTTATGGTTAACTCTACTATTGAAAGAATTTTGAAAGAACGGAATAATAAGGTTTTGGTTAAGAATCAATTAATCACATATTATTTTAGCAGTAATAACTATGGGAAAATTAATTGTATATTTGTATTTTGATTCTGAAAGTGCAAAGTAATGATCAAAATAGGTATAATATTAATAAATAACTAGATACATAAGCATGAAGGAAGTCAAGTTTAAATGAAAACAATGCATCAATAATTAAGGGGAAAAGACTGTACAATACTGAGTGCAGCAAGTGCTAATCTTGCTCAAGGGACCTTGCATTCTTGTTTAATGACCTTGGTCAGTCTAGACTGGCGGATCAATATTAATGGTCAACGTGCTATTAAGGACCCCAGCATGGCCACAGAGAAAGCCTAATAAGACCAGCTGGAGAGCAGATAGAATTAGCTACTGCCCAATGACCAGTGCTGGAGATTAGAGATCGGTCAGCATGCTGAGATATATATGAGGCAATTGGTCACTGAATGTCCAGAAATTAAAGAAGATACTAGACTGGTCAGCTCTCTTTTTAGAGTAGTCTAGATGACTGGTGCAAAAATTGCTCAAAATGTGGAAAAAGCATGAAACTTGGCACAAATGTTCTTTGGACTATGCTGATTATTTTCAAGGGCAGTGCCCAAAATTTCAAAGCGTTGCTTAGCAACCGTTGCTAAGGAAGTGATTTACCTTAGTAACAAGCTAATTGGACCTTTCTTGTTCAGTTTAAATGATTTAAAAAGGCTTTTAATAATGTTTCAAACCATCAGAACTATCACTATACTATTTTAAGACATTAAAAACCCAAGTAAACCATTGCAACAGTTGCTAGGCAGCATATTACCCTAGCAAGAAGTATATAACATTATATATATAATAATATATATTTAATAATATATATACAGATATCTTTGTAGCATTTTACATACCCTCCAGTTCCTTCCCATCTTTCTGTTCCCATTCTACATATACTAACATGTTTCTTAATTATTAAGATAGGTACATAAATAGTGTATGCTTGCACAAACCCCAATACAAATATCTCTGGAGATCTATCAATGACCACACCTAAATTATCTTTAGCGGGGCAAATGATGCACATCCAAACATATTTTTACATGTGGACAATCCCAAAAAACGTACAGAATATTTTCCCTAGCAGTATTGCAAAATTCTCAAATTCATGAGTTAAGCATAAGTATTGAATATTCTATGATTTATTCTGAATTGGAGCAACTTCATTTTCTTGTGATCCGTTTCTTAAATGTTAGTTCCCAATTATCAGTACTCAAGGTTTTTTTAAAATATGTCTGCCATTCACCTACACCTTTATCTGGTGATATTATATGGCTTTGGAAGATTTTTGGCGAAAAAATATCTGGATGGTTTGGTAACTTGTTTAATTGAGTCAATTATTTCTTGGAATGCTATGAGTAATTTCCTTCCATGGGAAGAGATAGCCACTCAGATGGTAAGCTCTTTAGGATGCTGANACACCTTTATCTCGTGATATTATATGGCATTGGAGGATTTTTTTGCGAAAAAATATCCGGATGGTTTGGTAACTTGTTTAATTGAGTCAATTATTTCTTGGAATGCTATGAGTAATTTCCTTCCATGGGAATAGATAGCCATTCAGATGGTAAGCTCTTTTGGATGCTGAATTAGCCCAGAAAGTTAGTGTTAAGGTTGATTTTTTGTTGAGTTCCTCTAGACAGAGGGGATTTCAAATGTCATTTATAATATCATTGATGTGAAAAAAAACATTGTACACCATCTTTTATGGAAAATAGTTTTTCAGTTTCTTTCAATTTTTGAGTTTTGACATAATGGTTGTGATAGGATTTCATCTGGGGTTAAATTGAAATTTTCCTGAATTTTACTCAAAGAACCAATAATCTTTGCCAAAAGGGATAAGAAGTTGCTTTTAGTATTTTTAATCCACCTTTTGTTACTACCGATTCCTGACATTTCGCGGAGAAAAACGCTCTCCACTTACTCTTATTTTCTTCATAAAGAAGTCTTTTAAGCCATGTAAAGTTTAGGGCCTTGGTAAAATTTTTATTTGCGGTACCTTTTACTGTCCATTTTTGTAATCAGACGCCATCCTTGCTCATTTTATTTTGTTTCTTTTCCCATTCCTGATAAAATTAAATATGATATGCATATTTTTAAGTATTGAGGGAGGGGGGGAGGGGGGGGGGCTGGTAGGAGAGTTTATACATGCACTATGTAAGATGAAAAATACTAAAGGTTTAACCACTGTTGACTTTCCTATTATTGAAAGGTTTTTCAGAGACCAGATTTCCAATATATTTTTCATTTTGTTCAAAAGTTTTCTAAAAAGTTTTTCACGTTGTATTTTGTCAGTTTCTATTCTCTACCAAGTAACTTAAATACACCTGCATGGTTCTATTTTAATTCTTTTTGTTAATCAATGAAGTTCAAAAGTTTCTGTTCACACCCAAAGGCCGTAAGATGCCATATCTTACTTCCACCAAGCCTGCTCTACAACAATATAAGAGTATTCTTGCGAGATGAACATATCTGAATCAGCACTATGGTGCCATGTCATCAGATACCATGTGCTCACTCTGGTTGGACTTGTGCGGAACAGTGGTCTCTTGTGGACACATTTGCCAGAAGCTATTGACCTGCCCAGAGTTGCTCCGGTGTGCATGTAGGTGCAGATGTAGAGGCTGACAATGTGCAAGGGCAAAATGCACTACTGTATATTGCACATACAAGGGAGAATTTAACGTCTTAACTATTGCAAAGTTTTATAAAGAATCGTAAGGTGATAAAAGCATGGAAATGGCTGGTTACTAACTTTGAACATGCTGCCTTAAATATCTGCACTGGCAATGTTTTTGATCGGATGTGTGTAAACATCACACAATTGTTTCAACTTACTGGATTAAAAGTATGAACATCTTGCTCAAAAGTGTAGTTCTTAGCTAGTATTATAGATTTGCCTTACTTAATAGACTAACGCCACTTTAAATGCTTGTTGCTAGGGTAATATGCTGCCTAGCAATCGTGGCTAATGTTAATTTGGGATTTAATTGCCTTAAAATAGTCTAGTGATAGTTCTGATGCCCTGAAACATAGTTATTAGCATTTCTAAACCATTTAAACTGGACAAGAAAGGTCTAATTAGCTTGTTACTAAGGAAATTCACTTCCATAGCAACGGTTGCTTAGCAACGCTTTGAAATTTTGGGCACTGCCCTTGAAAATGATCAGCATAGACCAAAGAACATTTGTGCCAAGTTTCATGCTTTTTCCACATCTTGAGCAATTTGGCCAAAATATAGCACCAGTCATCCAGACTAATAAAGAGCACTTGATTACTATCTAATACCTTCGTAAATTGATTCAGAACACACAGACCTGAGACCTTTCCCAAGGTAAATGACCGTATGACAAAAGGTCGAGTCACTTGTCCATCCAGGCCATTTAAAAGTCCATCAGTTGCTATTGTGCATGTAAGGGACCATTCCCATTACCCTAGATCTAGCTTACTAGCAGGATCGATCTATCTCCGAGGGGATTCTCGCTAAATTGCATTCAGTTATAGCGTGCATGAAAGTTAATTACCCCCTCCCCCCTTCAATGGGCGTGCCAGACATTTAATCTGATTAAACTGAATGCAGTTAACAAGAATCCCCTTAGAGTTAGATCGATCCAGCTAGTTCGGTAGGTTTATGGGAACCCAGCCTAAGTTCCAGTATCTGAGTATTATACATTCATGTAGTTCTCAATACCTCCTTTATTTATGTGGATATTATGTTCTGAAATTTGTGGTATTAAAGTTGAGATCAACTTTATAATTAAAGTGCTTTTGTGAAACGAGAACCAGATGACGGTGATGACCATAGATTGCCTTAAACGAGAAAAAAAACCCCTGAAACTCAATGTGGATATAAAGGAAAAAACAAGATCGAAGGAGAAAAAAATTATTGTACTTTTATACTGATAGTAAATTGTGTATGTATTCTGGCTTAACCCTTATGCGAGTAGAATATAACATGGGCAAAATTGCCATTTAGATCTAAGAAATGTGCTTTCTTGGTCACGCTTTTTGTTGGCATAAAAGTGGAACATTGTGTTTTATACTACGATTGCGGTTAATGACTGGTCGCCGTCTTGTTGTGTTAGGTGAGACGAGGTTGTTCAGGCGATTGCTACATGTCAAGCACAATGGCCCAGTTTCAACCATAGCTGGAAAGCGTTATCCTTTGGACAACACTGACCATTGGATAAAGTTGTTATCATCTGGATTGCTTTCTCAGGATAAAGTGGTGTTTTACAAAGGCTAAGTAAATACTGTGTTTACTGTCCAGTGGAGAAGAAATTTATCCAAAACCATACATGGAAAGTATTGTTCCCAAAAAACATTATTGGTTATTAATACGATATATCAGGATACCAGGACTCGGTTAAAATAACTGACGCCTTTCTTCCTGAATAACTAACGATACATATCATCCCTAAACAACGGTCATCCCACTCCAGGAAAATGAATTTTCTGTTGAATACAAGCCATTTTATATCAAAGCATTCAGTAATATTTTTTCCACTTAGCACAGTATTTTTGTCACAACCGCTATTATTACTATTATTTTTCTTTTTTTCCTCTGGGGATGTTTTAATCAGTTTATCGGAAAAGTAGTGAAAAAAAGGCGTCTATTTATCAATTAAGAGTGGGGACTGCAGAATATGTTACTAATTATTAGTTATTTTTTATTAGCTTCACTTATTACTCCGATAATTTATAATAATAATAATAATGATAATAATAATAATAATAATAATATTTATTCAGCCAAATGAAACGTTTATATGAAATATTTACAATACAAATTAAACAAAAAAGGTCAATGTAGTTGCTTTATAAAGCATTGGCTGCAGATAGAAAAAGAATTCATAATTATTCTGATAATGATGTAACTTGTTACGTAGATTTTATATAAACAGTAATACCATTTTCCAGTCTTTCTGATCTTATGGCGTAATATCACTGCGGAAATGCATAAGACATAAGAACTTCAGTAGGGGGGCCTATATAAAAAAACACACTTTATTTTACTTATAAAAATAATTCGATTCAGTTTACATCGCTTTATTTCTCCAAGTCCCCTACGTTACCAATCGAATTGTTGTCCTCTGTTGCTGTGGAATCAAAATCCTCATTATCCTCGTTTGGGGCGAAGACAAACTTTTCCAAGTCGGCGTCGGACGGGATTTGCATTTCCGGCGGGTCGTAGCCCCGGATGTAGCGGCACTTCCGGACCTCGTCCCACACATAGTCAGTGTCAGTCATGTCGTCACAGTCCAGAAACAGAGGCTGGCGTTCCTTGGTCGCGTTTCCATCAACCAGTGAACCGACGCTGCTGTCTCTCCTGTGAGGTGTTGGGCGAGTGGAGTGAGTGCCGGAAGGCGGGGTTGGGTTCCGCTGTCGCGCAGAGCCACTTTGAAAAGACGCTGATGAGACTGCCCGTGCCTCTAAACCAGCAGCCTCCTCAGGCATTTCATCTACCCACCTTTGGACCTTGTCAAGTCGAAATGAGACACGTTTTGTTGGTTTCACTTCCGGTTTCACTTTCGCTTCATCCGGGTCGTTGATACAGATGTCACTTTCGTAATCGACACCATCCTTTTTTTCAAGTGGAGAATGTTTTGCATTGTTTTTTTCTAATGATAACTTTGTAGGTGAATTGTCTGTGTCAGTGTCTGTATTCCCTTGGGGAACAAAGACGTGGACAAACGTGCGCTTTGATTGGCGTGCTTTTATTGGACGTGTGTCTGATTCCGTTTTTGGAACTTCGCATACCTCGTCGTCAGAATTACACGGTGAACTGTGAGGAAGCGACTTTCGCCTATTTCTCTGTGAAATTCTCCCTTTTGGAAGATCAATTTCATCCACTGACAAGCGTCGTGTTCTCTTCTCTGATTGTGTTCTGTTGTATCCATCGCTCAAAGAACTAATCGAGGTGAATGACGTCACAGGAGGCGGTTCTTCCAGCGAATGCGCAGATTCAGCAGCATGACGTGTCTTAAGAAGATAATTCTGTATAGATGGCGCGCCAAGCATTTCTTTGGGACAGCTGATGTCAGTGGCGTTTTTTATAGGAAGTGAAAATGACTGCGCCCGTTCTCTCTCTTTTGTCTTAATGCGAACAGAACTTTCAATGGTGTTCATGGACTTTAAGAATTCAGCCTGTCGTATTTTACGCTGTTCCTCCTTCTGTCGTAAATCTGTGATGAGTCTCTGGTAACTAAGCAGGTTGACGCGCGCACGTGCTGACGCCTCGCGCTGTCGCAGCTCGCGGTAGGAAGGCCGGTGGTATCTCGCGCTTAGGTTTCCCACAATGCTCTGCGACACCACACTGCCCTCTGGTGGTGGTATTCCTTGCTCATAATCCAAGGTGCTCTGAGATACGGAGTGCGGTCGCTCATCTGGAAAAGAGAAGGAGAGATGAGGGATCGCTTTCTCCAAAAATATCAGGGTCATTTTTTCTTAATATTTTTTAACTAAATGTCACTTTCAGAACAGTGGTTTAAAACGACTCAAACACTTAAGGCTCATCCCCAATGAAACTATCGTTCTAAATAGATCGATCCACACCCGGTGGGGCGATTTCTCACCAGAGTGCTGAGTAGCGCACATTCCTGTCTATGGGCTGACTTTGGACCCTCTTTGCGGGGGAGGGTGGCATAGATGATCACTCACAGAAATATTATAGACTGGGTTCCCATGCCTAGATCGATCCGACAGGATCGGTCTTACTCTACGAGGATTCACGCTAAATTGCTATCAACTTAAGCGGCTTAAATGTGTGTCACGCCTTTCGAATCAGCTAGGGGGTAATTAACTTTCATGCATGCTCGGCCTCCGGTAGTTAATTACCCCCTACCAGCTTCAATGGGCGTGCCAGACATCTATGCCGCTTAAGTTAATTGCAATTAAGTGAGAATCCCCTTGGAAATAGTTCGATCCAAAGTTAGTACGATAGGGTCTGGGAATGGTCTCATATACTCTACATTAAAACTGGTAGTGATTTGGACTAATTTCTCTGACTTACATATTATGTTTCATTTGCTACGTGCTATTCTGTGGTAGAAACCATACTCTAGATTGGAAAATAGTACATATTTTATTAGGAATGACACACACAAAAGAAAGAAAAGGAGAAATAGAAAAAGAGAGAGGGACGGGCGCACGCAAAATCTCCACCTTCTACTTTATATAAAGCGTGCTCTGATTTTAGGCTAAAAGTAATTGATTGGAAATTACTTGAAAATCGTGTCATGATATGTCAATTGAAGAAAAAATTATCTGTGATATATTTCGAAACGATTACGATTACGCTACCTTCAGAAAAATGTTCATTCTCCGTCTCAGTTGTACGCGGTCGTTTTTTCGTCCGGCTCAGGTTTAACAACGCAAGGCGAAGTTCGTCGGTTTCTCGGTCTAATTTCACTTTGACTCTTATTCGATCAAGTTCTATGGCCTTGAGTCGCTTCTCTAAGGATCTCCCAGGACATACTTGTTCTGCTTTCAAATTGATCAATCTGTCGTCTGCGAATTTTCGCCGATTGCAAATGATTTCAGGAAGATTCATTGTTGTAAATGGGTGGCCAGATCTTATTCCCTTCTTTGAAATGCCCTTTTCAATGTCTTATAGTTAACGTCGCCTCTTACAGCTTATACAAAATTCTACCCTCGGCGTCCTTTGATTTTTACTCCAGTTCTAAGATTAAGCGTGTCACTTTTTTGGCTCTGTTTACACAGAGACGCTGTAACAAGAAAATGTCACCCAGGGTGACTTACTGTCAGATAACTGGAGTTAGAAACAAGACTTCAGTGTGGTATGAAGGTCGTCCATCCCAGCTTTTAGGTAGATACAACTTGCCGTTTTCATCTCTATCATGGGATCAAGGAGTTTAAACAGAAATAAATCTACTCCTGAAAAGAAAATAAGGTGGGATTCAGCGTTCCGTCTTGAGGATAATTCTCGCTCGAATTAAATGTAAAACGCTTCCTTTTCTGTTAATTCCATGTTTTGAGAAAACTTGACGTCACGACGGGCACAGGTGTTATATAAACAAAACAACTGAGAAATAAACAGTGTCGTTTTTGTCCTAATCAGATCCTCCTGTATTTCACGCTATCACTATTCAACAAAAAATCTTGATTTCCTACTCGTGTAGCTGTGAACACAGTGAACGTTCGTCCCCCTACTGTGAGAGAACGAATTTCTACACCTAATAGACCAAGTAATGAATCGGGAAGAAAAAAGGGGCTTATTTTTCCGTTTTATTTTCGTTTATAAGATGATCGGTTTACAGGATACGTGCATCCCGTTGGTCTATCAGGTAGTATCGGGTGTGCCACTGAACAATATTAATTGCGTTGAAAAAAACACGCGCTGCGGTGGCTTGTAAAGGGGGTCCACGCAGGACGATTTTGTTGTTAAATAGGTCATTTGTTAATACGTTTTTGCATTGCACCTGGAACTTTTTTTCGGAAAAAAATCCGGTGTCTGGTTTTTAGGAAAGGGGGAGCAAATTGACATGGTCAGTTGTCTCTTAGAGTTGTTTTCTTTCTTTTCTCATCAGATGAAGTATATTTTAACTCGTTTGGTAATTTCACCCCAAGGCATCCAATTATCATTTGAAAAAGAGGCGCTGCTAGGCAGAGGTCTTTGTCGTGTTATTTATCTAGATTTCCATAGCAACATCAGCTTAAGC